CTCTCACACCACCTGCAAAACATTTTCTTCGTAAAGGAATGGGTGAGGAATGAGACGAGCGCCACCGAGGTGCGTCGGGCTCTGAGACGGAATCACAGTGTGAAATATCTGATCCCAGACTCTGTGATAGAATATATTCACCAGCACAACCTCTACACGGAGGACAGCGAGAGGAAAAATGAGGGCACAGTGCTGAGGCCGCTCACCAAACAACAACAACACAACAGCCAGTGAAGAGTCTTGATGACTGATAGATGAGCTGCTACAGCGCTGAGCTGGACGCTGGCCCTCGAAGTGTGAAGTCACTCACAGATCAGTGCGTCTCTTCAGGGACTGGAAGCTCTGTTAACGTCGACTGGACTGCCGTGTGATAGGGGTTTGCGCCACATGCAGAGAAACACATATCACGTGTTTTTAAAGCATCACTTGTTTTCAGTAGGAAGCATCTACACAGTGCTGTGGTGTCTTTGAATCATACTCATGGAGTGTTGCAAATACTGAGCCTCATCTTTGTGCCACAGTGTCAATGAACATTTGTTTGCTAAAAGTTTTCATCCTTTGTAGTTTTACATATTTCACATCATAGTAGTATATACATATATTTATAATATCATGTATATTTGAAGTCTTTTTGACTGACTGACGTTTGTTCCTTTTCCTGAATAAATATATGAAATAATAACCACAATCAGGATTTTAGAAATAATGAGGTTATGAGTCCAACAACCCACATCCCACCCACAAAAACACACAAAAAGAAACTACTAGGGTTTCAGTTTATCGACATCATTCTAATATATTTCTAAAAATACATATCAGAGTTTGTCAGAGATAAAAAGATAAAGTCCTGGACTTTTTTTTCATCTCTGTCCTTGATGTTTACACAGTCGACCAACCTTTATTAAAACAGAGACAGGAATTCAGTTCCTGGCATTAAGATATGTTAGAAAATAAAAGCTAAAGACCTTTAAAACTGAGTCATATGAGCAAATAATTGATTTTATTTTCAGAAGCAGAAAATGTAAAAAAGCAACCAAGAAAAATCACTTAATGGTTATGAAACATAGTTCAAGGTGCAAATATCCCTTAAGATGTTTTGTAATTAAAGAGTGACATGATGTCTAATTCAGGGGTGTCATACATGTGGCCCGCAGGCCAGACCCAGCCCTCCAAAGGGTCCAATCATGACTTTATACACTTAACACTGATGTACTTATGAAGGCTAAGAGTGGACAGGTTTCAGGAAAAGAAACAGTGAGTAGCTACTTCATGTAAAATACTGTTTCAGAGGCTTTTCACCCTGACCAGAATACATGAAAACAATGAATACTTACTATAGTTATTTTTAAGGATGTTGAACATTGTGCAAAGTGTTGTCATGTCAATCAGCAGCTTTGGTACAAAAGAATCTTTATCAGACTAAAAATAATATTGTTGGAGCCCTATTGCTACGGCATTGCCAAAATGTTTGGCGGACAAGAATCTGCTTCCTCATTAGCTTCCATTCTAGTTTGGTTTAGTAATACCAGTATTATTACACAGGAGAGGAAATGTGTGGAAAAATGTGCACATAATGATAGTGAGTAGACTGACTGAATGTGTAAAACTAAAACATATTGTTGTAAACTGAACATATGTTTCTTAATACATCTCAGGCTGTTCATTGTTTTGTAGATGGATGAACATTTTCAGAATGTTCTTTACATTAAAAAAAGGAAACACTTGGGAGGTGTTGTTATTTATAGGTTGATATTTGGTAGTTTTATTGGTCTGGTCATGGATGGATAAATGAACAGGCCCAGGGACCCAAAATGTCAGGGGCCCTCCTGACCTTTAACTGTAAAATGTCACTCAAATTAACACATCCACACATGAGGAGGCTTAAAATGACTAAAAAGAAACATAAAATGACACACAACAATTACAAAGAGATGCTAAACAGCTGCAAAGAAACACAAAGAGACTTACAATTAGCAAAACAAGCACAAAGAGATAAAAAATGACCACTAAGCATCTAAAGGGAGACACAAAAAGACCATGAAGAGACACAACGCAGCTACAAAGAAAAGCAAAACAGCTGCAAAGAGACACAAAGAGACTCAGGACAGCTTTGAAAGGGAGCAAAACGACCATAAAGAGACACAAAATGACTCTTGAGCAATGCATAGCAACCACAAAGAGACACAAAATGACAAGAAAAAAGCTTAAAATGATCAAAGATGCAAAGGAACTACAAAGAGATTCTAAATGACTACAAAGAGACACAAAAGGAGGGGGTGTCGGTGGTTTAGTGGATAGAGCAGGCGCCCCATGTACAAGGCTGTTGCCACAGGGGCCCGGGCTCGACTCCAGCCTGTGGCCATTTCCTGCATGTCACTCCCCCTCTCTCTCCCCCCTACACACTTGTCTGTCCTGTCAATTAAAGACTAAAATGCCCCAAAAAATATCTTAAAAAAAAAAAGAGACACAAAAGGACCACAAAGAGTCATAACAGCTGCAAAGAGATTCACAATGAGTTCAAAAAGGGACAACCACAAAAAGACAAAAAATGACCATTACGTAATGCAAAGCACACAAAGAGACTCAAAACAGATATGAAAGGAAGCAAAACAACCATAAAGAGACATAAAGTGACTACCAAGAGATGCATAGCATCTACAAAGGGACACAAAAAGACCACAAAGAAACACAACACAACTACAAAGAGACACAAAACAGCTGCCAAGAGACACAAAGAGACTCAGAGCAGATATGAAACGGGACAAAAAAGGAGACATAAAATGCCTACTAAAAATGCATAGATACTACAAGGAGACACAAAATAACCACAAAGACACGAAGCAACTACAAAGAGATGCAAAACAGCTGCAAAGAGATTCACAATGAGTTCAAAAAGGGGCAAACAACCACAAAAAGACAAAAAAGGACCATTAAGAGATTCAAAGCATCTATAAAGAGATGCAAAAAGACCACAAAGAGATGCAAAACAGCTACAAAGAGACAAAAGACAGCTACAAAGAGATGCAAAACAGCTACAAAGAGACACATACAATCTACAAAGAGATGCAAAATGGCTACAGAAAGACACAAAGTGACCACAAAGAGACACAAAGTGACCACAAAGAGACAAAAAACAGCTACAAAGAGATGCAAAACAGCTACAAAGAGACACGAAACAGCTACAGAGATGCAAAACAGCTACAAAGAGACACAAAACAGCTACATAGAGATGCAAAACAGCTACAAAGAGGCACAAAAAAGCTACAAAGACATGCATAATGGCTACAATGAGACACAAAATGACCACAAAGAGACACAAAACAATCACAAAGAGACACAAAACAGCTACAAAGAGATGCAAAACAGCTACAAAGAGATACAAAATGACTGTAAAGAGCTGCAAAGAGACTCACAATGAGTTCAAAAAGGGGCAAAACAACCACAAAGACACAAAAAATGACCACCAAGAGATTTAAAGCATCTAAAAAGAGACACAAAAAGACCACAAAGAGACACAGAACAACTACAAAGAGATGCAAAATGACCAGAAAAAGGCTTAAAATTACTGTAGATGCAAAGCAACTACAAAGACATTCTAAATGACGACAAAGAGACACAACGTGACAATTACAAAAGGGACAAACCAACCGCAGACACAAAAAACTACAGAGAAACGGAAACAGTACCACATAGAGACACAAAACCCCAGAGAGATGCGTAACGGTTACTAAGAGACACAAAACAACAACAAAAAGAGGGTAAACAACTGTTAAGTCTGTGTCTTAGCTCCTTCGTAGGAAAGGCAGCGGGGTCTTCTGCTTGTCTGTGCCCTCGGGTCCCGTCTACTTGAGGTCAAATTAGGCCCATTAACTAAGATGACTTTGACACCCCCGGTCTATATGCTGTTTAAAGCTGTGGGGAACTATTGAAGTCTTTAATTAGGTGTTCATTTTTTGTTGGCCCTATGTGTAAAAATCTGAGAATCACACTTGAAAAAAACCACCGTGTGTTTGTGTGTATATATATGATATATATTAGACGGTGTACATCTTAATCGTCGGGCTACCAGACCGCCCCATTTGTAGGATTTTAATTGTAGACATCTAAGCTGGATCCTGATTTAAATTTCCTCTCGTATGAAGATCATTGTTGGTGTGTCTACTCTGCAGCAGCCTCCCAACAGCAATTCATTGTGGATCTATTCAGTTCCCCCATTATCATCCACACACTGTGTCTGCGAGCCTGTATTTTTTCCACCAAAGGATTTAAAGTAATCCTGACAGTTGCTCAGCTACAGGAGGTGTTTTCTCGCTGAGGCCAATGGCTGAAAGCGCCACTGTGACTGATACTGACTGGCATCCTTTGAAAGATGGTGTGTATGTGTGTGTATGTGTGTGTCTTTGTCTGTGTCCCAGTCATTGAAGGATTTAGACAGCGGGTTTGCTGCAGCTGGTCCAAAAGAGAGATTATCAAATTAATTGAGTTATTTAGGCAAAACAAAAGATATGACAGTCCTATTGTGCTGCATTTAATTGTTCCAGTCGGATCATTTTAAGCTCAGGTGATTCTGCTTTTGTACTGTTCATATCATCTGCGCTGTGTGCTGCACTCAGCCACATTCAAGCTGATCTGTGTTTTGATAGATCTTTGTGGGATTTTACCCCATTAGGCTGATTGTTGATCGTCCTGCATCAAAATTAAAACCTCATCTTATACAACAGAAGCAGGCCAAATCTGCCACACGTGGAACTCTGCAGAAGTGGGCCTGTGTCAATTAATAAAGGAAGTGTATTCATCCTAATCCTACGCAGGCGGAGTAAGCACTCTCCAACATAAAGCACACAAGTGTATTCGACATTATGTATGCATGCCGCATGTATCCCTGCACACAATATGTAGGGAAAGCGTGGGGAGGATTGAGGGGTTACGTGGAGTCGACCGAGGGAGGGAAGTGGGAGGTAATCGGATTAAAGTGAGTTTGGTTCAAATTGAGGCTTTTGACAGCAGGTTCTGCACTCGGTCACAAGTAGCCATCCACAGCGGACCTCTTCATCATTCACTGGGAGTAAGGAAGGCAGCAGAGCAACAGCCAACATGCCAGTTGACTTGAATGGATATTGGAAAATGATTTCCAATGAGAACTTCGAGGAGTACCTGAAGGCTCTTGGTGAGTTTGTAGGAGGCGATAAAGGAGGATAGGCCTGGTACAGATGAAAGCATGGGAGCAAACATACCATCATTAGAGCTCTTAAAAGCAAAGTTGGCATTTTAGATAAATAAAATCCTAATATTTCAACTGTAGTAGAACAAGACTGCAGCCATCTTGTGTTATGTTTCATGTCTCACATTGTATACACACAATGACGAGAGACATCCAAATTTATTGACATACCTAATATCTTCCGGTTACTTTTACGCAATAACTAAAGTTATTGTCAGCAATACTGGGCATTTATTAAATCTTAACCCAACAAAAATGTTCTACCTTACCTCAAAATAAACAAGCTGGATTGAAAAATGTCATATCAACACAGCTGCATCACACAACTTTAAAAATCTGTGCATACATGTGTGAGTCTCTTGTCACGTTTCTCATGCATTTTCCTCTTGCAGATGTAAACGTTGCCATCAGGAAAATTGCCACCCTGCTGAAGCCTGACAAGGACATCACCCACGATGGGGACCACATAATCATCAAAACCCTCAGCACCTTCAAAAACTACAACATGGACTTCTATGTGGGCAAAGAGTTTGAGGAGGATTTGTCTGGAGTGGACGACAGGAAGTGCATGGTGAGCATTTAGAGCTGATGTATCCAGGGGGGATTTAATACAATTTAAAGGTCCCATACTGAACTCATTTTCAGGTTCACACTTGTATTTGGGGTTTCTACTAGAACATGTTTACATGCTTTAATGTTCATAAAACAATATATTTGTCTCATACTGTCGGTCTGAATGTACCTGTACTCACCCTCTGTCTGGAACGCTCCATTTTAGCTCCTGTCTCTATAAGCCCCTCTCCTGTAAAGCCCACTCTGCTCCGATTGGTCAGTTTTTACTGGGTTTTTTTGCATGTGTTATCAGCATCTCTGCACCATCATTGCAGCCGAGTAATCACAGTAACAACAGTGTAGCAGCAGTTTCTACCTTTATACAGTATGGTTGTGGCATGACAACCTCACGGAAGTCCTGACGGCATGTTTATGGCGACCTGGTCTCACTCAGAAGTCAGCGAAATCCGATACATGGGCAGTGACTTGCGGTGTCAGACACTGACGAAAAACGGTCCTTTAACGTTGGCATGATACGCAGCTGGTCACCATAATAATTTAACGACACTCGGCAGTGTCGGGCGGAAACACGGCGGGAAAAGAACGGAAGTTAAGGCGACGAAAGTCAGAGTAGGGCAGGCGTGATGGGTGGTGGATGGGCCCAACAAACACGAACTGTCACCTGGGAGAGCAGTGTTTGTGTCCTTTAAGATTCTAAAGCCAAACCCTATTTTTTTTCCTAAACCTAGCCACCTACTTTTGTTGCCTAAACCCAACAACGTGCGTTAGTTTTTGGACAAAAAAAAAGGTCAATTTGCGTTGTTGTACTGATGTAGTGCGTCTATTTTGAAAGAGACTGTATGTAAACGGTAAATTTCCTGTGAAAATGGAAGTGTATTTTGAAAGAAGACAATGCATTTGAGAGGTAGAACTTGACATGGCGTCCCAGAACATCAACAACCAACGTACCCAGGGTACCTTGCACGCTGTATCTGGATGTGGAAGGTCCAACAGTTTCTAAGTATGGCCTGTGCATTTCTTTTTGATATCCTCACAGTATTTATATAGCACCTAAACCTGCTGTAATATCTAACTCACAGTATGAGACCTTTAATGAATAAACACGTGATACATTACTGTTTCAAACTTCTACGAAACCTGTTAAACCTTCACGTTTTCCCATTAGTGCAAACCCCTGTAAACTAACTTTTCCTCTGTGGCGTCCTTCCAGATTATAATGAGCATATGGTGGGCTGAGGTTTTATACAAAACTTTCTACTTACGAAACTTTCCTCAAACTTTTCACACCTGTGTCAGTGAATTGATGTAATGAAGACCGGTGTCAGATACTGCACGAGAAGAAGTGGGGGAGCCAAAGAAATGAGTCAAGACTCACATTCTTTTAATCAGATTGTGTCCCTGAATACTGAATAGGATCAAAGATTATCTGTGGTCCCCCTTGAAAAAGGTTTTTTTTTTTTTTGGTATGCTGATAGGCTGATTATAGATAAGCTATAAGCTGTTTGGATGAGAGAAAAAGGGTCATGTGCGTCTGTATGTGCAGATTGTATCGCGGTAATTATTTTTAATAAGGGTGCAGGAATACGGAGCCTCTCGCTCGGCATATAAATGTTTGAATCTATATGTTCACGCATCCACATTGTTAAAGCCTCCAATGTTGCATCGTGTGTTATAAGCCCATTTTCTCTGTGACTTGTGACCTCATGCAGACCACCATCACCTGGGAGGGAGACAAGCTGGTGTGCGTGCAGAAGGGAGAGATTGAAGGAAGAGGCTGGACCCACTGGGTGGATGGTGATGAGCTTCATCTGGTAAGAAAACACCAGCTCCTGCCATGAATATTAATGTATGCAATTTGGACACTTTAATCCAAATCCAAAATGCCTCTCAGCACTGTATGTGCAGCGCATATATTTTTATGTGTGAGAATTGGCCCACTAGCTCCGGTGGTACTAACATTAGACCGTGTGAGGTACATGTGTAACTCGTTTACTGCCAAGGAAATCATATTATTTCTGCATAAGGAACTGCCTCTAAAGGTAAAACACACTTAAGTATTTTGCTTCTTAAGTGCAACTCATTTATTCTGTATTTCTGTCTGTCACCACTAACTGAGACCTCCAGTGATCCGGCACATATCAACATCTAACACTGCCATGTTATTCTCTTGACTTTTTCAATCTCATTTCTGTTAGTACTTCAATAACTTTTATTTTCTCCTCTGTGAAATTCATAGTGTGGCCCAGTGTGGCCTGTAATGAAACCATTAGCATCTGAAAAGACTTTAAAGTAATGACTAGCACATTACCATTTTCATTAGCTCAGCATTATCAGATTTCCCTCTGTGTGATTACTGCTATCAAAGATAAGCAAAACAATCTGCCAAATTATTTGGTTTAAGTGATGCCAACAGATGTTTTCAATCAGCGGCCGTGAAATTAGTTATTAGTTGGAAGTTCCCAAGAGCTGGAGGAGGGTTTGAATGTGGAGCAACAGTGGCCTCTGGTGGCAGGAAATACACTGCAAGGTGGATGAAAGAATTGTGTCCCAGACACACACAAGCACAAATGTATTTTAATGGTGGATTTCTATGCTAAATGCACTCATAAATCATTATATATATATATAAAAAACATTATTAGGATACTTTATTATGTGTTGTTTTTTCTGTCCATTTCAATGAATGGAGAATGTGAATGCAGAAATCAACAAATAGTAAAAATGACAATAAATGGCCTAACAGACCCACCCACCCTAACAGAGTTTATTCATTTTTCATGAATGGTTAACGCATATCAACAAATAAAGTAAATTAAAAAAAAATAATAATAAAATGAAGTGGATAGCACGGTGGTGCAGTGGTTAGCATTGTCACCTCACAGCAAGAGGGTTCCTGGCTCGAACCTACGTGGGGGGCCCGAACCCCAGGGTCCTGTGCGGACCCAGCGTGTTCTCCCCGTGTCAGTGTGGGATTTCTTCGGGTACTCCGGCTTCCTCCCACAGTCCAAAGACACGCAGGTTAATTGGTGACTCTAAATTGTCTGTAGGTGTGAATGTGAGTGTGAATGGTTGTCTGTCTCTATGTGTCAGCCCTGTGATAGTCTGGTGACCTGTCCAGGGTATACCCCGCCTCTCGCCCTGTCATTTGGGATAGGCTCCAGCCCCCCTGCGACCCCTAACAGGATAAGCAGTTATGGAAAGTGAATGAATGAATAAATAAAGTGATCATTTTAAACACATTGCATATTAATTTTGTATTGTGTTTGCCATCACAACTCAAAATATGCTCAATTTCTGAACTATCTACAGAAATAGTATGTTAAAAAAAATTGTATTTTGTAGACATAATCCATAGAATACATTATAACCTGAGTGTATTCTTAGAAAATGTAATCAGAACACTATTTTCGTATTTGAACAGTATTTCCCTTTCTATTTCTCGATGACATTCAGACTCCTGTTCATTCTAATGTACAAATATTTTTGAAAAAATCCTTAGTGAAAGCTCTTTCATATGATTTTTGACATGTATAAGTAATATAATATCACATGTATGAACACAAATTATATACTTTAACATGATTAACAGCCAGAAACGAGCCTTGCGCTTTCTCCTCGCCTCACAGTCAGCCATGCTTGTTGAAAAAGGAGGTGTGACTCTACTGTTTTCCACTTTAGCTGGTGTGGAACACTGCAATTGGCTTACAGACATCCCATCAAAGAAGTCTGTACACTTGAGCTGAGTCAGAGGACAGTAACTATAGATCTAGAAGTCCTGGAAAAGTTACATCCATTGGAACAGATGGGGGATCTGAACACAATAGAAAGTTGTTGCTGTTTTTTGTACCCTAATCAGAGGTCCAGATTGACCCAACTGGTCCAGTCACAGGGTCCAGATTTCTCCTTGGTCATTAGTTCAAGGTCCACACAGTTTAATATATTCAGTGTCGTACTTGGGTTTGGACATGTTGTTGAGCTAGTGTCTATGCATCTTTTACCAACAATAGACCAATGCTCAGTCCCTCCCACCCATAGTAACTGTTGCTAAGTCAGACAAATCTTTGTAAGTGATTGTATGACTGAGGGAAGACAGTAGGGCCTAGGATCCTCCATCTGATCATTCCCATTAGTCAAAATTACAGTCTGAGTCTGTTTGAATCTAAGAATGTGTCAGTCTAAAAACTCTAATTGTCTTTTGTTCTCTGCAGGAGCTGAGAGCTGCGGGAGTTGTTAGCAAGCAGGTCTTCAAGAAGACTTAAGATGGGTCTTATTGGACGAGACAGTGCTCCCGGCTGACATCGACTTAAAGAAACACCAGACACATACCATCCAACCTCCATTTGGTTCATTTGTACACTCCTTCACCTCTCCGTCCACCCATGTTTTCTGTTATGCATATTATTTTCATGAAGCACACATTTATATTCCATCAAGACTGTTGTTCTACTCTGTGTGTAACATGCAGTACTGTATATCTGTCTCAGGGTGGGTGCTCTTCTGATTAACAAGTTTAGATGTGTTGGATGCATGCAGCTGATCTGACGGGTGACCACTGGGAAAGTAAAGGATGGCAGTGACGTCAAGAGAGCAGTGGGTTAGTCCAGTTTTAGTTCTTTGAATGCTGTGAATGGAAAAATGAAAGTGTTTGAGGGCTGTAAACATCTGTGCTGCTGATGTTTAGTCTCCAGAATGTATATCAGATATGATGTGCGTATTTATCCGTCCTAATTGCTTTGGGAATGTGCCATTGATAGTGAATCAACCAATAAAGTAAGCAGTGCTCAATAATTTGATTTGTCTTTTTCTGAAAGTTTAAACCTGACATTTATTTTGCTAAACCGACTTGCTGGGAAAGCAAATGATTTGTTTGGCAGCTCAGTCATAGAGAGGCAAACCATTTAAATGACTGGTTGATGTTAAGTTTCACAGGCCAACAGATCAGCTGTTTGAAGCTCCTTTTTATCACAAAATGCCTTTCCAGACATGCACGAGGAATCTGAAGGCCTCTTCTTAAGAATTTCAGTGAGTGAAGTGAAGCCTGTGGAGCTTCGGCCAGACAACTCGAGCCACGCTGTGCTCTGAATCAGCTTATCTGTCAGCTCACTTTGTGCATTGCCATTACCAATTGGGCCGTCTGTATAAACTGTCCAACTCACTTGCTCATTCTTTGCTGCTACTGCTGCTGCTGCTGCTGCTGCTGCTGCTCACCCTGCTGTTCAGCCTCCTGCCGCTTCTTGTGCATTCACGCCCCACCACCACCCCTGTGTCTACCTGCGGAGCTCTGTTTATTTATGGTTCCCCAGGGGGTTGTTATTGATCTCTCCCTGCTCTTGCTTTGGCTGGTTGAAAAAAATTATGGTCTCAGAGAGGGGTCGAAACGGAGTCTGGCGCCAGGGTAAAATCTGCATTTGCATTTATTCTCAATAAAACGTTTCCACTAAGTGCAGGGGTGGTCTGGCGGAAAGTCAGTAACTTAACTCTTATTTTTATCAGCAATCAACAGGCTAGCAGCTCAATACAGCAGAGGATTTTCAGCCATTGATTTTGGTCCAACTCTGCTGAAAATTATGTTTTTCTTATTGCTATTTCACTTCCGTGTTTGACCTTTACTGTACAGAATGATGTATGTGCAGAATGTGACACAAGGAGACTGCTTTCACATTTATCTGCTGAAAGAAGGAAAGTTTCTCTGGGCACACTTTAAATCTGTGTTTAAGGCATGTATGCATCATTTTGTGACATCACAACTTGCTTGTAGAATAAACCATGGTTCCATGGACACTTACATACTGTACACAGAGAGTGGACAGTGAGTAGGAGACATCTTCTGTCCAGCTGTAAAAAGTCTATTGAGTAGGATTTAGGGAGATATATGAGCATAAATTAAATATAATAATTATAACTATATTTTCATTAGTGTATAATCACTGGACACTAAGAATAGTTGTGTTTTCGTTACCTTAGAATGATTCATTCATATCCACATACAGAGTGGGTCCTCTTCTGTGGAGTTTGCTATGTTGTTTCTATAGTAGCCCAAAATGGACAAACCAAACACTGGCTCTAGATAGGGCCATTTGTGTTTTTGTGTCAGCCATTGTAGCTCTCCTATGTGCTTGGCACACAGGAGAATTTCCAGTTGGTCGCAATCTGCAACCTCTCCGCTAGATGCTTCTGTATTATCTTTGTTTTTTAAGAAAATCCTGCATTATATATCTTTAAAAGTTCTGTATACGACATTCAAAACATTAATTGAACTATTTGCCATGTAAAGATATAGTGAAATAACAGTGTCCTGAGAAGAGAATGAAGTCGCTGCCTCTTTGCACTGCACTTGTATGTCAGTAAAGGGCGGTAACCGCTGATAACTGCAACGGTGGTGTTGCAAAAGTGTAAAACCCTCCCTCCGGTTCCCCTCCAGATTAACACTGTTAGCTCTGTCAGCACTGTTGCTGTTGTAAACACTGTTAGCACCGTTAGCTGCTAGCCGCTGGTTCAGTTACTGCCATGTTGAGAGCTGTATGCAGACAATGTCCGCTCAGACTGTGAATCGAACATGTGCTATAAATGTTGCTCACAGATCCTTTAAACTTTTGAAGAAAATCATAACAGGTAGGTAGGTAGCTAGATAGCTAGCTAGATAGATAGAATTATTTCCAAATATCAGCATAAATGCTGATTTTTTAAAACTTCAAAACCGAGTTGAACTTTATTAACCTCCATGCTCAAAGTTCGGGTATTGTGGATTAGCATGTGAACTTCAGAAAAAGAACAAACAGAGAGCGCACACTGTTGGCAGATGTTACAAAACAGCTTCTCCTGTCTGTACATTGTACAGTGACCATCACTGCAGCGTCTGCATGTGTATGTGTGTAAAAGTGCATGTGTGTACATGAGAAGTGGTGTGTGTGTGTGTGTGTGTGTGTGTGTGTGTGTCACATATGCCCTTCACAACCTCCCCCACTGATCACACAAAGACTGAAAGAAGAGGGTGAGTTTCCCCCCTCCCCCTCCAAAACAACTGCCCCTGCCAATCCCCTTCAAGCTATAAACTTACTTATCAATAGTTCTCTGCCCTCATGCCCCCGACTCGTATAAAGCAGGAGGACACCCTGCACCTTCCCCCTCCATACACCGTCTAAAGTCTACACACCAGCTGCCAACATGCCTGCAGACTTCAGTGGGAAGTGGATACTGGAAACCAATGATAAATTTGAGGAGTATTTGAAAGTGTTGGGTAAGAAACTTTTAATCTGGGTGGGCTTCATTTTGCTCAAGATGTTAAAGTAGTGTTTCAGGGTGATGTTGCAGGTTGCACAAGCTGCACGGAGAACAAAATCATCCAATTTTGTGGTCTTATAATTTTTTGGTCTTATAATAAGTGTTTGTCCCTTGTGTTCAATCTAATCTGAAGGTAATGCAAAAATGTTTTTCTGCAGCATTTATCTCACCTCTGATTATTGAGTATACAACAATTATGATGTAAAATACTAAAAACATTCAGATTTGAATATCATACCTTGTCAGCTGTATCATTTGTCATGGACATTAGGTTTTGATTTCTGCATCATTAACACAATTCAAGGCCTAATTTTCATCAAAAATATTACGTATAAACATAGAAGTGAGTCAAACTCTCAGCACTACATCTATTCCTATAAAGAATTTAATTAAGTACAATAATCTGTCTGTTCTGCCCTTGTATAATGAAGTCTCTGTATTCTGACTCTAGATATTGACTTTGCCACAAGGAAAATTGCCATCTCGCTGTCTCAGACCAAAGTGGTATCCCAAGATGGAGACAAGTTTGAATTCAAAACGCTGAGCACCTTCAGGAATTATGAGCTCTCCTTCACTGTAGGGGTTGAGTTTGATGAGTACACCAAAGGACTCGACAGCAGAAACATCAAGGTGGGTCGACCTCTCATATATGGAGTCCTTGAAGGGATAAGAGTCAAGGATAGCTTATGTGATGAGTCAGTATTTCCCATTATACCTCTTGATTGTATGATAATGAGAGCGTGTTATCTGTGCATGTGCAGGGTAGAGATTGGCCTGTGGTTGCTGTGTGTAACATCAGTGCTGAAAACAGATGCAACAAACAGTGTACAGATGATAAAAAATGCCCAGTGACTTGCAGAGATGCACCGTTACACTGAGTGCCAACAGGGGAACGACATATGAAAAATAAGTCCAGGGAAAAGGAAGGTTTAAATATCTTATTAATATCTTCAGTCTCTCCTTAAATCACTGACATCCAACTGCTTCTTTGCACAAAATGCATCAGATACTTGCAGGTATTTTAGCCATACCATTTTCATGCCACAAAGGGCATAGAAAATGCTGTTGTGAGGGTAAATTGTATTAATGAAATAAGTGGAGACCTGTTTTTACAGGTCAGTATGTTAAAGTGTATTAAACTGGTTATTAGTTGATAGTGTATGGTGCAACTTTCTGCTTCTACTCCATTAGGCCTACATCTCAGCAGCACATATTGTACTTGTTACCCACTCACTACACGTGTCTAAAAGCTTTAGCTACACATTACTTTTCAAATTACAAATTTTCATACCTTTATTACCCAAATCTAGTGATTCTGAAATTAAAATTTTAATAAACTAAGGATTTAAGGTTTCTTATGCAGGGCTGCTCATAAGAGGGCAAAGTTTCTGGGGCCAAGCCACAGAGGGGGCCCATGCAGGCCAGTAATTATCATGTCAGGGGCGTAAATATAGACAGTGAAGGCAGTGCAGTTGCACTGGGGCCCGTGAGGTGGGGGGCCGATAGAGAGAATGGGCCCTCTAACAATGTGTTGGGTGGAGAATGGGCTGTTATAAGTCACTGCATGACTTCAACCTTGAAAATATGCCTGTGTTCAAAGAACTCCCATTAAATTAAAAATAGTGCCATTTTGCTATATATTCCCTCAAAAAAGGCAAACCCATCTTAGTCCTGTTTCTTTTGTAAAATAGTCTATAGCATCTGTAACAAATTATATGCTTATTCAAAATAAACTATAATAAACTATTAAAACTGTTAAATCAAACTAATAATTTCTTATTTTCTTTGATATTTCTTGTCATACACAGATATGTACTGATGATTCTTGGGTACTATGTTTGTTGATGTTATCCAATGTAAAGTCTCTGATCATGTGATGAGAGGATATGTGCTCAATAGCGTGCATTGGGGCACGTCACAGCTACCTTATGCCACTGAATCATGTTCATCCTAAAGTGTTATATGATATATGATATATATACCTTCTTATAGAAGGTAATGGTGAATATTTTGGTTTGAAATAATATTCACCATTACCTTCTATAAGAAGGAAAATAGACATTGTATTTATCCTTGCTTTCATAAAATGTAGCCTGAATATTAAAAACTCCCTCTTCTGAAAATGGTATGGGCTTTTTTTTTTTTTTTTTTTTTTAAACGCAACCAGTGTGAAAAAAAATGCTGGCGTGGACATGACCCGAAAAATTTACTGTTCTAAACTAGGATAGAAGAGACGGATCATGTGCGTGCTTTGATATGTGTTAAGCAGCTTTTTGGAGGGCCCTTCACTAGACCTTTTCAGGGGCCCTGCTATTTCTATGGGCCAGCCTGCCTTTACATTCCCCTACTACTTAAGCTTAATAAACTCTTTAAAAACCCTCTTGGATCAGCTGGAAATGCATCACCACAAAGCTCAACACAGAACTGTTTTTCTGACACCTTCAAAAGTTGACTTTTCGGAGATATGTGGTTTTTACAGGACGGCCACGCTACAAACATATGATGAT